TGGAGGAGTGGGGGGGTGGTGGGGTAGTTTGACACGGAGGATGTTTTGACTGCACTGTTCTGGATTACACAGTCTCACTCAGTGGACAGAACAGGACTGTCCGTCCTCAGTCGTCCACGTAGCTGCTGCGTATCGTCTTCTTGGAGTTCATGGATTCAGTCCAGACGGAGGCCACTTCAAACTGATGGACCAATCACAGGATTGATCAGATTTGAACCTTTCATTTATTCTTGTTATTTACACACCTTGTGGGGAAAAAGTTTTCATTTCACCAAAGCACCTAAATATAAGTCCGTCCCACGGATTAGTCCTGACACCAGACAGACGAACGAATCTTTCTTTGAATTGATCATATTTCATTAGCCGCGCCGTGATTGGTCAGCGTACAGATCTGAAGTGTTCGACTTGTTTTTATTTGTTTGTCCAGATGCAGACGCTGTTTGCTTTTGACGAAGAGGAAATGGAGATGAGGAACAAGGTGGTGGAAGATCTGAAGACGGCACTGAGAACTCAACCAATGAGGTACGTCGTCGTCCATGTCTGTTGATGATGATGATGATGAAGCCACAGTCCACCTTAGTCCATGTTACATTTACTGACATCACAGCAGGTGTGTCTTAGGGGAGGGTCTGGACAGTGTCCTCATCTCCAATTATGTCTCAGCCCAGTGACAAATTGCTGACTAAAATAAAGGAAGTGTCGGGGGGGGGGGGTCTGAGCCCCTGTCCTCAGCACAAAGGAGACAAGGACAGGAGTCTTTGTAAAGAGGACACGTCTTTGTCCCTTTGTTTATGTGCTTACTGTCCTGAAGTGACACACAGTTGTTTACGTCCGTGTCGAGCCTGGCTTCATGCCGGGTTCTGGCCCAGTGCCTGAAGTGGGCCGCGGTTCTCGCCCCTCCTGGCATGGCTCACGGGCAGCTGGCCCTGGTTGTGAAGAGTTGCCCTTGTGCCCTGATCCTGCTGTGCAGGGCCACAAGACCCAAACGGTCGGTGCCAGAGCGGGAACACAGTGCAGCCCATTGTCTGCGGTGCAGCCCACTCATCTGCCTCTGACCCACGGTCTGTTTGGAAGAGACCCGGTCAAGGGTTCTGCTCCTGGGACGATCCTGCTGACTGGTTTTACTGATGGTTTCTTTCTATGGAGTGACAGGTCACATGGTCACTGATGAGGAGAGACAAACCAATCACAAGTTTTTTTTCTGGCTCCGCTTCATCTACTTTCAACTTAAAGTTCTAGGTGCCTGGAATCAGGTACTGATATTAAAGAAATAATTTTCCGTTAGAATTCACTGCTCGTCTAATTATTCAGTCGTCGTGTTGTTTATCAGCTCTCAAATAAATGAATGTTTCAACGCGTGAAATGGGAATAAGGAAGTAACGATGACTCGTGGATCGGTGTCAAATCGATACAAATCCCTGACAACTCTCATTGGTTGAAATAAATGAATAGTCCATCACTGGTCAGACCATGACACTACACCCTCCAGTCCAGTAGGTGGCAGTGTGCTCCTAAAAACCCACTATCAAACCCAGACGTCAGGTCCTACGTAGACTGAGAGACGTTCAGGTGACACCAACAGACACCAACAGTGTCCTCCAGAGGAACTCTTTCCACTTCCTGTTGTTGTTTCATCTGTTGACAGTTAACCAGGTCAATAACTGATTTCTGTTGATCTTTAGTCTCGTTTGCTCGTGTACGTTTTTTTTTTGGTGACATCCCTTGTGGCGATGACTTGTCATTTCCGTTGACAGGGATAACAGGAAATGAAGCTTCCTTGGAGGTCACTCTCTGTCTGCACTGACCCCCAGTGGTCGACAGGGCATTGCAGTTCTCCCCAGGACAGTTGGTGTGGACGATGTTTCTGATTGGACGATGTCCACGGGTGTTTTGACAAACTATCAGGAATAGAGTGTTGGACGGAGACACGTTCTCCTCCTCTTCTGTACAAATAGACAAATTACAAAGAAGTGGGGGGTGGGGGGAGGGGGCGGGGCGAACTTTTTGACAATATTCCGATTCATTTCCAAATCCGATATCAGCCTATACTGATATAGCCTGGCAGTGGTGCCCTGGTGGTGAAGGAAGGTAAGTACCGCCTGCTCAATAAGGTGATGGGTTAAAGCAGTGTTTCATTATGTTCTTCCATTCCCCCCCTAGTGGACAGAGGTTTTTCCAGCACCCAAATTGAAATACTATTGAGCTCCTGGTAATAATTATTATATTATTTAATTATTTATTGATCAGAACAAACCACTGTAGGAGTTTCTGCTCCAGCGTTCATCACCAGTTCAAGATGGCAGGATTTTCTTTCTGTAAAGCTAAAACCTCAATTTGTCTTTTGGTTGGAATAAATATCTGAACCCAAACTGGAGCAACCCACCCCCCCC